CCATGGTAGTCTTGAACTTCCCGGCTCAAATAGCACCCCTCATCTTGGCCTCCCAAAGTGTTGGGATTACACGTGTGAGACACACTTCTGGTTGGGTAATTTAAACAGCTTCAAAGACTTTTAGTATATGTTTTCCCCTGGACTTAATCTTTTCCACTATATTTCTCATGACCCTTACTTTTAAATACATGTCATTGTAAAGCATTTTAGTTTTGTGTAGACTGATTCAGCTAAAACACAGCTAAAGTCCAATGAAAATGCAAACTTTATCCAAAGTCCTACGAAGACTTTTTTAAGATTTTTTTGTAGCTCAGATCTTTTTGTAAGCATACATTATTTTCTCATTTTAGCAGAATTCCTTTTTGCTTGTTTTCAGTAAATTATTTAATTTGGTACATACATTTTTAACACACATTTTAACTCTACAGGAAAATTTTAAAGAATCTCAATTAAGAGACACATAAGTTATCTTTATTTAACAAACATATATGTAGTGTTAAAAATGTGATTCTTTTTTAAAAAAGTTAAATCATCCATCAATCTTAAATCAAAATTTAAAAAGTAAACATGCTAACTTATAAGAAAGAGATCTTTATGTACAATAAGAACCGGGCGGGGGGGGGAAACGCACAGAAACCTTTATGATCTCTGAATGGAGATAATGAGCAATACTGCAAAATAACATCCTCAAATATTTTCCTTTGATTAAGGCAATTTTGTACCAGGTTTTCCATAAGGATCCTCAGTGTAAGCTGTTACTATACTCTGCTGCCTAGTTCAAACAATGATGAGAATCCCACAAAGAGTCAAGAGAATGTGGTCCAGATCTTCCGGTTTCTAACATCCTGATTTAAAACTTCTGCAGGAAAGCATGGACTGTGTGAACTTTAAACTTTTTCCTCCATGTCATTTCTCTCCACTGAGGTTTGATGAAGGGTGAACCACAGACAGTTTGAGGTTATATGTTCTGACAAGGGCCTACAGCGCAGGTATTCTGTGCATCTGATTAAGGGTGAATCCACATGCTTTAAAAATCAACTGAGCTCATGGTAGAGCTGACAGTCCTGTTAGAGAATGCTTCTCAGAGGCAGAGAGCATAGCACATGTTTCTCTTTGCCACCTTATATTGCAAAATTCTAAAGTTAACAGCAACAACTTTATAGTTAGAATGATTCATAATACTGCTTTGCATAATTTTGGATAACTGTGTCTTTGCTTCAACTTAGCTTAGATATAACCTTAGAAAAAGGGAACTGAATTTTAGTTCTAGCACATCTCTATTAAGTTATGTGTCCTTGAACAAGTCTTCTACCTTCCTGTGTTATCATCGATAAAATGTTGATGTTTTATCGTCAATAAAATAAAAATATTGAATAACTTTCAAGTTCTTAGCATTTGATGGTTTTGTAAATACTAAGAAACTGCACTCATTAAATGCCTGCATGCCCCATACCCTTTAGAATGATTTCCGAAATTCTGAGAGCATTTGTCAATAGGCTCTAAACAGACATCATTGCTCTAATTATACCAGTTATTCAAAAGAAGAATTTGGAGCCTCATTTTTCTTGTGAAATGGGAGAGTGGATTAAAGGAACTGTGTTAAAAGCTGTGAAAGAATGTCCTTTTGTTGAGGCAGCTATACACCTTCTCTGTAACAACCTCTGGGAAGAAGGCAGCTCAATTCCCTTGAAAGTGTCCCTTTGGAATATCAATTATCCATGAAAGAGATGTCTCACATTTACCCAAATGTCAAGAATCTTGCTTCTTCTGCTGCATGTAGTTTCTCTGAAGTAAAATTGGAGGAAAGCAGCTGTTTTCCAAAGCACACATTTAAACAATACCTTGTATGTAATCTTTATTACATGGTGACTATCAACTTAATACAACTCTTTATTTCTCCTCCTCTCTTCCAGCACCAAGGAAAAATTGGAGTTAAGTTTAATGTTGGGACAGATGACATCGCCATTGAAGAGTCCAATGCAATCATTAATGATGGCAAATACCATGTAGTCCGTTTCACGAGGAGTGGTGGCAATGCCACATTACAGGTGGACAGCTGGCCAGTGATCGAGCGCTACCCTGCAGGTAAGCAGGTGAATATGTATCGGGGGAAGATTTTATAAAAAAAAAAAAACAAAAAACTGGAAGACAAAGCACTGTTTTGCATCCGTTTCACCAAATTGTGGTTTTCTGAGAAACCATCAACTATTTATTGGACTTTAGAGTCATGTGAATGCAATGCTGTCCTAAACTGTTCTTGCTACAGCGTACAAATGCCATTTTATATGAGAACGTGAAGGCGCACATTATCGTTTGCAAAATTCAGGACATCAATGAAATCAGAAAAATGCACACATAAAAGGCACAACATGTTAAAGCTCTTTTTACAGGATGCTTGCATTTGAACAAAGGAAAGGCTTTGTCAAAAGTCACAAAGATAAAATTTAAAACTAAGGGAAAAAACATTACAATACTTTTTTTTTTCTGAAAGAAAATAAGACCTAACCATTCCTCCAAAGGTGGTGCACATCTGAAACTCATTAAAGTGTAGGAAGCCTGTGAGATAAGTAGAGAAATAGTGAGAAAGCAAAAGTGTAATAGTACCACAAATCAGCAGTTATAAGAACATGTACATAAAAGAAGTTTGTTTTCACTTTCATGTAACCATGGAGTTTCAGGAGGATTCTTTGACACTAGTGCTACTCTTTTTAAGTCTGCAAAATCAATGTCAAGCCATTATTTATAAAATAAAAATTATCTTGTTTATTGTGAATGAGTTTTATCAATAGTATATTATTGAAACAAAGGTGGTAGATTAGAAATTTTAAGCAGTGTTACTTGTGGTTGTATATATTCTCAATTTTAATACAAATATTCCTTTGAAGTAAAATATAAATTTAAAGTATTAAGGTATTTTACTGCAATTATTATCCTCTTTGTATTTCAGTATAAAATAGGTTACTAAAAATATCAGTCTCACTTCTCTGTTCCCCTTTTAGATATAACTTATGTTTTTAACAAAGCACACGATTTATATCGTAGTATAAAGAAAAAGTATAAAAATACATTTCTATTTTACACAATAAAAATGATGACCAAATTGCATATTTAAATTCGTCTATCAGAATTACTTGTTTCTTGAAATAAGTATTTGATAAAATAGTTAATATATTCATTAAGTATCAAATTTCTCAAGTACTGACTCACAATTGTGGAATGAAATGTCTGTGATACCCTTGGACTTTATCTGGTTTATACAATTCTAAATCTTCAAGCCCTAGTTCAAACCTATTATATAATCCTAGTACTCTGCAAATATTTGCTGAATTAAATGTAATAAAAATGCTCTATGACAGAATTCGGAAGCAAGGAAATTAAAATGTCCAGTGCCCGTTATAATACTGGCAAATAGTAGGCACTCAATAAATATTTGCTGAATCGATGTCTTGGGAATTATCACAGTTTTATACTACAATTATGTGACCTATATCCAATAAGGTAAAGTAATGGAAGATCTGAAAGCCAAGTAACCTAAATATGCATGCAATGTTACATAGCTCCTGCTAATCCCTTATTGCATTATGTGAAATCCAAGCATAAGTGTGCAATTTTAATTTTCATTCTTTATTTGTATCAGATTAACATTTATTTATTTTTTTTATATTTTGAGAGACAGGATCTCACTCTGTTGCCCAGAGTGGAGTGCAGTGACACAGTCATAGCTCTCTGTAACCTCAATCCTAGGCTCACACAATCCTCCCTGCTCAGCCTCTCTAGTAGCTGGGACTACAGGTGCATACCACTTTGCCTGGCTAATTTTTTAAAAAATTGTTTTTGTAGAGATGGGGATCTCTCTATGTTGCTCAGGATGGTCTTAAACACCTGGCCTTAAGTGATCCTCCTGCCTTGGCCTCCCAAAGTGCTGGGATTAGAGGCATGAGTCACCATGCCCAGCATAAAATGTGTTTTTAAAAATAATAGCTACGACCTTAATAAAATTACAGAAAGGTGTATTGCTAATTTTCCTAAAATATGGATTAATCACTGCGTATTTGCTGAGAGAAAGTCATCACACTGGATGCCATGAAAATATATAATAGGGTAAGGTCAAAGCTTTGTGCATTGGATGTTGTCATATGTGAATGGTGGATATGAACATGCAAAATGATAAATCTTATTACTATTGCAGTGTGGCAGTTGCCTCTTGAGGCATGGTTTTGTGCTCATAGTTAATTCTTTAAAATTATCTCTATTTAGTAACTTTAAACTCTTATCAGCACTTTCCAAACTGGTATCTTTACCTAGAGTTTATTACTGCTTATGATGAAAAAGGGAAAGTCCCATTAGCTTGGGAAATCAGTTTGGGAAATTCTGGGTTAAACTAAGTTAAAATGTCTATACTTGGATTTTATTAACATGCATAATATATCTCTAAGAGGGAAAAATAAGATGCATTCCTCAAGCATAGATGATAGAAGCAAAGAAATATAGGACACATTACCCAAACATCATTGCATTTTAGTAAATATTTTTTGTCTTCAAAAATTTCTATATTCCCCAATTTTACTATATTTTACTATATTTTCTTTGACTGTGCACATACCAGATAACATGTACTGAGTGTAGTTCGAAAAAGATATGGTTTCTGAGTTCTTGTGTAGCAGGCTAATGTTCAATTTGAATCTGGTAGCTGAGATTGAGGCAGTACTTTTAATTATTTGAAGAAACATTTGTATATATTTTTCTAGATTAATATTTAACACATATAATACTTTATTTTCCATTAAATAATTGTTTAGAATAAGAAACACAATGTAAAAGATGTTTAAAAATAGAAATGAGCAGTATTGTAATAAGTAAGGAGCAAACCTTTACAAAGTTACTTCAGATAAAACTTTTAACATTTAATCGGAGATCATAAAAGCTCTTTTACCAAGATATATTTTAGGTAATATTAATAAACCAAGAGTTGGCAAAGTTGCAATTATTCTGAAGGATATAAGCAAGGAAAAACACAGAGTCTGCTTTCAAGAAAATTAGAGCACATATAAAGAATTTCAATATCTACATATAAAAAGTTAATGATCAATATATAAAGAACTCAGGGGAGTCACCATTATCATCAGATGTTTTATTAATCATCTGCTCTGTGTTCATTTCAGTGTGATGCTGAGGTAGTAGGTAAGCCATGAAAATTTCAAATACATTTGTCTTTTTGGAGCTTCATCTCCAGTGGTGCCATAATGGCTGAATACGAATTTGAAAGAGTATGTCACCTCGATTAAAGCTTTTATGACAAAGTGATTGTAAATACGAGTTCAGTAGCAAAGTCTGGTATATGTGTTTTATGTCAGTTTGTGGTATGGCTCTTTTTATTAATTGTGGGAGTTATTTTTATTAGAAGAGCAGCTAAATTAAAGCTTTTTCCACCAAATACTATAATCAGAGAAGCAGGAACCAGCAGACTATATTTGCTTCCTTTAAAGTGCATGTACTGCAAAATATAGATAATAAGGATTGAAATTAATAATTAGTATAGCATTTAGCCCTCCATTACAGGTTTTGTGGTGAGTGCTTTATATGTAGCAATTCATCTGGTAACAACTCTATACCTTTAATAAAAAGCACCCAAAGCGTTGACCGATGGTACTACCCTGTAATTGCCTGGAAGGCTTTCATAGCGAAACTAATTAGTAGAGGTAGATTTTATGCTCTTTTCATGTATTTAAAATGTTCCTATAGCTCAACAATTCACATTTTAGAATAAATATTGAATTTTCTGAATAGCAGACCTAGTATCCATTATTCTCTATACATAGAGCAAAATACAGAGATAATATTTTACAAACCATTTAAAGTTGAGAAAGCCATTTCTTGGTGCTTATTAGTTAAGGTTCTAGAATGTAATGCATCATTAGTCTCTGATTTGTCCCTAATTACACTTATGCAGCAAAATTTTCTCTCTCAACAAAAATAGAGTTTCTTTTTTCATAACATTAATTCACAAAGCCTAACACATCATCTTGCTCACCCAGACTAAAGATTGCTTTAGATAAATCACAGTTACCTTTGATGATAAACCTTTGAATTTGTTTTCCTACCACAGTATGTCAAAAGATTTCTTTTGCACTTTATACAAGGTCAAATATTCATTTTATACCCAAATTAACATCAAATCAACAAATATTTAAAGGACATATATTGCATAAAAGGAACATACTAAATTTATAGCCTGATTACAGAGATAGGCAAAAAAAAAGTTCAAGATTAAAAATATAACATGTGAGAAAGTGCTAGGGTTACCATATCATTTTTGGCCAATTTCTGAATAAGAAATAAAAGGAAAACTGGTTCCAATGAAGAAGAGATCATTTTGAAGTGAGTGGTATAGTAAGACTGTGAAATCTATAGTAAATTGAAGTTAGGTCTTTGCAAGCATGCATTCATTTAGGAAGGGTTAGCAGGAAACGATAGAGCCAGCCAAACAATTTAGGAAACTATTAAACAATCCAGGTATCAAAAGATAAAGTAATAAAGTAGAATGTGAGAAAATAAACGGGATGAATGCAAAATACACTTTAACACCTAATTAACAACTCAATAGAAGGCGAAACATTCCAACTTTTTAGGCTTTCTCTCTTTTTCTCATTCTTCTCCACCTCTTCCTCCCCACCCTGCCCCTCCCCACTCTTTTAACCAGCAATTATTCAATGTTCTAATGCTGCTGTTTTATTTGTATATATTTTTCTAGATTAATGTTTCACCAGAAATATAATATTTCTAGATTAATAATCACGAGACAGCACTAGGTATCAACGAAATGGAAACTGGTTGTAGAAAGGAACAAAGGAGTCAAAGACATTATTATTCCTGTTTGCCAAAAGATTAGTCTGGTTGGGAGACAAGGAGGATCCAGAAAACCTGGAAAACATGCCAAGTAAAATGTGTTAATTTTCAAAATTAGTAATGCCGCATTTGCTTACTATTAAGTTTAAGGAAAGTCGAAAATGGTGGTCTGGAGTGGTAAGAGAAAGAGATCCTTTAGGATTAAGAGGATCTGAGAGAAAGAGGAATGCTCTAAGACT